ATGGACAGGGGGGGGGGGTCCATTCAGAGGCTCCTAGAGCGGGCAGGCCTCAATGTAACAAAGAGAAGGAAGCCACGCTGACTGCTGGCACCACCTGCCCCCAGGCTTCTGGCTCTGCACAGATGTCACATGCAGGTAGAAACAGGGGCGGTATCCCAGAATCTCAGCCCAGCCCAGCTGTGCGTCTGCCCCTGTGTTTCCTGACAGCCACTCCCCCAAGCCCCATGTGGAAAATTTTTAACTTTTCACACTCTGAAGTCACCAACCTCACAACAAACCCCTATCCCAAGAGATGAATCACCTCCTACTTCACAGAAACCACAAGAAAGAAGGGAACCCCCTCACCATCCCCTCCACCCCCCACACTAAAAGCCCCTCCCCTCCTTCTCTCCTACTGAGAAAATAAGGCAGGGGGAGCCCAGGAGCCAGGCTGGGTCTGGCACGTCTGTGTGTTAGTTTCCTCTTTCTCACCCCCACCCCCACCCTGAGAGACCCCTCCCCTCAGGGTGCTTAACAGCCTGAGTTCTTCCTGCTGCCTTTTGCCTGGTGATTTCCTAGTGGTTCTTCTGTCTAGAGCAGCGGTTCCCAACCTTCCTAATGGCGCAGCCCTTTCATATAGTTCCCGTGGGTCACGACCCACAGGTTGAGAACCGCTGGTCTAGAGGAACCCGGACAGTGGGATGTTTACAAGCACAAACCTGAAATGCACTTACTCAGAGCCTTCTGCTCCTGCTCTGTCCCCCATCTCCCCCAGGAGAACAGGCTGGGCTGGCTCACTGCTTCCAGGGAAGGGATGGGCACACACGGAGTGGCCCCCAGCTGCTCACAGGCTGACCCCTGTCCATCCACAGATGCATCTTAAACCTGAGTGTAGGGTTGTTTGTCATGCTGCAGTGGCCCACAGATAGGCACACGCAGGGCTTGCTCCCTTCAGCAAGTGTAAGCCCCACAGGTCCCAGCGGGCCTGTCTTCGTGTTCCACCCACCCATCAGCAATCACAGACTCCTCCTCAGGCACCCTCTAGAGACACCCACTCTCACTCTCACTACCCACACTCTGATTCCACTGAAACCACCTTCCAACAGCCCCCAGGGATGTCCTGCAGTGAAATCCAAGGTGGTTGGTCAGCTCTCATCTGACACCCCTGCAGCATTTACCACGCCCCCTCCACCCCTGTTGAAACCATGCTCTCCAGGGATGCTACCCTTCCAATCCTCCCCTTCTCATGGTCTTCCTGAGCTCCTCATTCCCTCCTCCTGCAATGCCCTGGTCCTCAGACCTGCTGAGCCCCCTCCTCAGCCCACCTGCCTGCCTAGAGCCAGTCGTGAGCTCTAAACTCCTAGGTCAACTCCCTCTAATTTAGTATCTTTTCTTGAATTTTTTATCTAAGTATTTGTTTACCAGGTATTTCACCAAGGACATCCCACGAACAAACCAAACTCAAGCCATTAAACCCAAACATCTTTCCCACTTCCCAAAACCTACTCCTGTCTCCCACATTCCATGATGACCCTCCCCTCCTTGCTGCCAAACCCTCCCAAATGCTCCTCCAGCCAATCCATCATCGAACTCTGCCACCCCACTTCTTAAATGTCCCCCAGTTCATGTCTCTGAACTGGGTATAGAACCTATCTGCGTAATGGGTGGTTTGCTGAAATATCTCCCCACGTCTCCATCCCTCATCTAGCCACCACATCCTACTGGCTTATAGTTCTGTTCCCACTGGCCTCCTTGGTCTCACCCCATCTCCACTATCCACTTTAATAAGAAGAACTCTCTGGCCATTGCCACCACCACCTGCTGAAAACCCTTTATGGCTTCTGCTCTTTAGATGAAGTCTCAACTCTTTAACCTATTCAACCCCAGCTCTCGACACTAATGCTCTCCACACAATTCACCCACAAGCCACACACTGTCCAGTCCACCGGGCACTGTGTCTCCCCTTCCGACCTGGCCACCCAGTGAGCCACCCCTTCAGTGAATGCTCTTCCCTGGTCCACCTGACCTGTGGTGTCTCCTCCTCCACCTTCCCACAAGCCCGAAACTTCCAACTCACTGCACGCTCGGGGCACCCACTAAGTACATGTTTGTTAGATGAAAAGGCTGAAAGATTCCTACTTCCCTCTGGGGAAAGTTCATGTAGTAAAAGGCGTCTAGATACCAAGCTATAACCCACATCATCTACCATCACCTGGGCAGCACGAGTGTCCTCACTGATTCATCCAACATGTTCTTCCTTTTTTTATTTCAAGTTAATGTGAGGGTACAAACAACTAGGTTACAGTGTTTTCATCTGTTAGGTAGAGTCACTCTTACAGTTGTGTCCTGCATCTAAGAGGTATAAGTGGGAGGCCACCAATCCCCTCCCTCCCCTTTCATCCAACATTTTCTTCAGTGCCAGTTAGGGCTGAAAATATTTCTGTCAACTAAGAACACAGGGACAAGTGAAATGCATATGCCTTTATCCAGGTGCAGAAAACAGGCAATAAACGCTGCTCTGAAGGTGGAAAAATGTCACAACATGGGGTT